GGACGGGCGCCGAGCCGCCGGCCGGCGAGGAGAGCGGCGAGGGCGGGAGCTGGGCGCCGCGCAGCGCCGGCCGTGACGGGCGGGCACGCCAGCCAATGGGCGCGGCGCACGCGGTGGGGCTACCGCAGCCGGCCAATGGTGAGCCGCGCCGATCCGAGCGCACGCACGTCGGCGGCGTCGCGCGACGGAGATCGACGCTCGGCGGCGCCGAAGACCCGGGGCGGAGCGCAGAGCCGGTGCGGGACTGCGCTTTGGGCCTGGGGCTGCGGGGGCGCGGGCCAAGGTCAGGAGGGGCTCGGGCGCCCCTCTGTCGAGTCCCTGGCGGCCTGCTCCGCCTCCGCGTGAGCCGGACGGCCGGGCCAGAGGTCGCCGTGTCGTCAGCGACACGAGCCACCGGGGTCGCGGGGCTCCTTCCGTTAGGACGGGACCCGCGAGCTCGCGCCGCGCGGACGGGCCCTCGGCGGAGATGCGCCCGTGTCCGCCCGCCTGGCCGGGCCGGGGTCGCACAGGCGCGTAGGGGGCGCCCGCGTGCAGGTGACCCCACAGTCGGGGCCTCTTTGAGCCGATTGCTAAACAGTGAAAACAAGTGGGAGAATAGACAGATGTAGTTTAAGTAGAAAGAGGGAGTTCGTGTGCGTGTAATGGCGCTAGGATGGGCTGGGTTTCCTCGGGCCGGATAAAGTGGTCCTTCCGGGCAGGGCCTAGGCAGGTCCTGTCGGGCTCAAGGTGGGCGCGGTTAGTTTAGTTGCTCGGTGTGTTAGAACGAGGTAAAAGATATGAAAATTAATGCACCCGAGGTTATACTATTTGCCTATCTGATTTACATATATGTGTCTGTGATCTTTGTACAAAACGCTAAAGGTTCAAACTGCTTTGAACTGTATGTATGACAGGATATCCTAGGCAGAAGAAAATGGTTTAATTAAATATTCACTTACCTATTTGAAGAGTAATCTGTCGTGCTGAGTATGGAAGTGATAAACAGGGAAGTTTCTCTCTTAAAAAACAAACCAGTTGGTGGCACACACCTGTAATCCCAGCCTTCTGGGAGGCTGAAGCAGGAAGATCACAAATTTGAGCCCAGCCTGAGCAGTTTAGGAATTTAGTGAGACCCAGTCTCAAAACAAAAAATTTAAAAAAGATGAGAGGAGAGCTAGGGGTATAACTCAGTGTGACGGGCTTGGGTTCAATCCCCAGTATGGAAAATAAATAAAACTAAAAACCCACAGACGCCAGGCATGGTGGTGCATGCCTGTAATCCCAACACGGGAGGTTGAGGCAGGAGGATCGCTGTGAGTTCCAGGCCAGCTTGAACTAATAGACCCTGCCTCAACAAAAACAAAAAAAACACCCCACAGACAAATAAAGGGAAGAGCACTGGAGAGCTGCTGGTTACTCCTGCTGTGTGCTGTGCAGGCTCTGCCTTTTGCTCAGTCCCCCTCCCCCAGAACATCCCTGCACTGCTTGGGTGTCAGAGGTTTAGTGGGAATGGGTTGCTGGCTGTGTCTGCACATGCTGTGTGCTGCTAGCAAGCATATACAAGGCAACTGGAAATGTTCATCTACGTTTCAAGTGTCATCGAAACTCAGCATCCACTATATTCAAGGAAACCCAACCTACACATACAAAGCAAGTGAACTTGTAGCTCTGCAGTGGTGTCTCAGTGGCGTTCTCTGAGGGGACACAAAGCATGGATCCACTGGAGCCTAGGACGGTAGAAACTTGGGGACACATTGTCCTGGGAAGGAAAGTTGGGGGTCCTGGCGTGGCCTGCACAGACTGCAGAGAGGGGTGCAGCTTCAGCAGGCGCTCCATCCATCTGAATGCTCAGTAGGTGCCCACTCTATACCAGGCACGGGCCAGGGCTGGGCAGACAGCGCTGAGCAAAATGAGTGGCCATGTCCCCTGGGTGGAGTCTCCTGAAAGAAGGAACTTTCACGGCCCCTGGGGACAGGGAGAGACCACATCGGCTTGCTATCAGAGAGCTGGACTTGGGGTCAGAGGAGAAGCCCAGGCCGCTCCCAAGGAGCCATTCCCTGTGGAGCTATGTGCTGAGTACCCACTGGGTCTTGGGAACAGCTGCAGGGAGAGGGACAGCCGGAGAGCATGGGCTGGAAGGGAATTGAGAGCCAGGAGGAGACCTCTGAGCCAAGACCAGGCCCCCAAAAGTGGTGACCATAAAAGAAGAAAAATGAGTTGAAAAATAAAAAACATGAGTCACACACCACTGAGAAAACGTCTACTATACATGTATCTGACAAGAATAAACAATTTAAGAGAACTGCCATTGGCCAGCGCAGTGGCACATGCCTATAATTCCAACTACTGGGGAGGCTGAGGCAGGAGGAGCCTGAGCTCCAACCCAGCCTGCACAACAGACCCTTTCTCAAAGAAAGAAAAAACTGCTGTTGCCAGGGATTTAGCTCAGTGGTTTTGCCGCCTGCCTTGCAACCACAAGGACCCAAGTTCGATCCCTGGTACGAAAAAATAAATAAATAAAAGAAAAAACTGCTGTAACAGAAAATAGGCAACTCCATTTTTTTGAGACAAGGTCTTGCTATGTAGTTCAGGCTGGCCTTGAACTCAGTATGTACCCCAGGCTGGCCTTCAATTTACAGTGATCCTCCTGACTCAGCCTCCTGGGTGCTGCATTACAGGTAGCTTCACCACCTCTACCACTCAAACTCAGGACCTTGCACTTGGCAGGCAGGTGCAGTGCCACTGAGCTACATCCCCAGCTCAACTTTCAAACAGGCACGAGACTTGAACTACTTCACAAGAAAAGATACAAGAATAGCCAATTTTAAAATCCTATAATCCAGAAAACCCTGGGGCTGGGGAGTGTAGCTGGTTGTTGAGCACTGGTTTAGCTGTGGGGTGGATCTGTAGTCCTAGCTACTCAGGATGCCTAGGCCAAGTTCAAGGCCAGCCCAGACAATTTACAGGAACTATCTCAAAATAACTTCTTTTTTTTTTTGGCAGTACCTGGGATTGAACCGAGGGTCTTCCTAATGATCCTTTTTGTTTGTTTGTTTTTTGAGACAAGGTCTCAAACTGCTAAATTCCCCAGGCATGACTTGAACTTGGCCATCCTGCCTAAGCCTCTCAGAGTGCCAGAATTACAGTCACACACAAACCTCTACCACCTGATCTAGCCAAGCCACTCAGCATTTACCTTGAGGAAAGAAATATGTTTGCAAAACATACAACAGTGTTCATAGCAGCATCCATAATGACCCAAAAGTGAAACAGCTTGAGTCTTCAGTGTCCCCCAAAGGTCACGTGGTAAGTAAAACCTTGCTCCCCAGGGTGGCACAGGTGGCAGGTGATAGAGCCCTTAGGAGGTGGGCTCATCAGGTCCCTGAGTGTGCCTTGAGGCACAGGAATCGATGCGTGTCTCTGCCTCTTCCTTCCTGTTTGTGCCCTGGCCGTGAGATGAATGGTTTTGCTTGGCCATCTGAGTCCTCCACAATGTGCTGCCTCAACACAGCCTTAAAAGCAAGGGATTGGGGCGGGGATGTAGCTCAGTGGTTCCAGCACTTGCCTCGCAAGCACAAGGTCCCGCCTTCGATCCCAGGTACCAAAAAAAAAAAAAAGCAAGGGGTCAAGCAATCATAGACTGAAACCTCAAAAACTGAGCCCCACATTATCTCAGGTGTTTGGCAGAGAACAGAAAGCTGAATAACAGAATGTCTTCAGCAACCGAATAAATAAACCTGGGGTGGGGTGTCCACTCCATGGACTGGGCACAGGGCACGCATCACCCTGTTCCAAGGTGCCTCCCTGTGCTTCTGCACAGGCGTCCTGTGGAGCCCGATGTGATGGCACACCTATCATTGCAGCACTCAGGAGGCTGAGGCAGGAGGATTGCAAGTTCAAGTCCTGCCCGGGCAACTTAGCAAGATCTTGTCTCAAAAAAATAAAAAGGGCTGGGGATATAGCTCAATGCAAAGGCCTGTGTTCAATTCCCAGTACTACTGTTGAAAATAAAGATTGCAGGGTCTAGCACTCAGAGGTGGAGCACTTACCTAGAGGCCCTCGGTTTAACCCAATGCTACAAAAAGCAAAAAACCCTAAATTTACACATTTGCCATAAATAAGGGGAGGCCAGTTGGATATTTGACATCCACACACTGAAATATAGCTTATTATAAAAATGAAGAGTTAGGGGTGATGATACGTATCTGTAATCCCAGCACTCTGGGAAGCTACAGGCTGAGGTTAGGGGATCAAAAATTCATCCCTAGCCAGGGCAGTTCACTTAGCGAGACCCTGTCTCAAAATGAAAAGTAAAACAGGATTGGAGACAGCTCAGTGGCCCTGGGTTCCATCCCCAATACTGCAAATAGATAAATAAATAAGAACAGAAAGCTGGGTGTGGTAGCACATGCCTATTAAATAAATAAAAACGAGGGCCCGGGATGTAGCTCAGTGGTTCTGCTGCCTGCCTCCCAAGCGCAAGGACCCGAGTTCAATCCCCGGTACCAATCAATCAATCAATCAATATGAAAGCTGTGTGTGGTGGTGCACGCCTGTTATCCCAGCACTCAGGAGCCTTGAGGCAGGAGGATGGCCATGAGTTTGAGGCCAGCCTGGGCTACGCACAGTTCAATTCCAGTCTGAATTACATAGAGAAATCCTGTCTCAAAAAAAAAAAAATGTTTAGATTACCAGCATTAACTGAATTTGAAAGTGAAGGTAATTCTGAAGCGCCTCCTCCTCCTGCCACTTCTCTAGTTGGTGACCAGGCTCCCCTGCTACTCAGGAAGCTGAGGTTGGAGGAGCTCTTGAGCCCAGCAGTTCAAGCCCAGCCCGGCCA